GAGCTCCGTAGATCTGACGATTGAGGAAATGAGGTTGGCCCTGTTGACAAGCTGGTTGAGCAGAAACCATTTATTTCAGCCCCTGAATTTTTCAGACGTCGCCAGAAAGTCACTGAAGGAACAAAGTAGAAGCACTCCTAGTTTCATAAAAAATGTGCTTTTAATATGCAGTAATCGGTGCCTTATGGCAAATGTGTTAAGAACCTTAAAAACCACAGTAATCGCAAACCGGAAAACTTCTGCTTACACAAGCGTCTCAAGATGATGATCTTAATAACCACGTGAAATCGATTAGGTTCCAAAGATATTTATGGCAATTTTTTTCGTAAATTGGGGATTTTGCCCAGCCGATGATTTTCTATTCTCGCTTCAGATGATAAATGACTTTATGAAATGATTTAATCATGCTTTATTCAGAATGCATTAGGATGGTTTATGTCTAACACTGCTTTCGACTTTGTATTAAATGTCCTTCCATCTGACAATCAGTCATAATTGAGGGTTGAACAGTTCAGTCAGTAAATTAAGGATATGCACTTCGCTGGCATTCACTCTGTAAAGCAATTCCTTAAGGAGCAATCCAGAAGTGAAGCAGATCAAATCAAGGTCTCGTAGACGACGATCCGCTAACATCAACCAATAATGATTTCCATGAATTCAGCGTTATGATCATTAACTGCCATATCAGATTTTCCTCGGAATCGGCGGAGTCGATTACATTTGATTACTGTTTGAGTGAATTCCATATTTTGCGTATGCGAACCGTATTGAAGCTTGACTGATAGATGCTTCCTCCGGCAGACAGTTATGTCGTTTCGGAACAGTTTCTTCTGCACCCCATGCAGTGATGTAACCTTTCAACAAAAGAAGGCCCGTCACTTCCCTTGTTCGGCGATCTTTCCCTTGCAGTCCAGTTGTGAAGCATGTACCTAGTGTTTGCGATAGCAATGATCTATACTTTATCGTTGGATGAATCGATAGCTTAAAAAATTCATGAGTCCATGGATAAAAGAAAGGAGGGACTGGCAGACCTACAACCAAACGAATGAATGGGTTTGTGCATTCAGGAACAGAGGATGGATCGTAGGTTTATTCGATTCACT